GCACCCCTTACCTAGGGATGTACAGGGAGGAGCTGCTGTATGTGGTATGTGCTCTCTTGCTAGGCTGAGTACGAGGAGGTTGGTGCTGCCTATGCCGAGGAGAAGGCTCAGCTGTCCCTGCTGACAGAGAAACATGCTCTGCTTCTCCAGGAGTATTCCCAGATCGAGGAGGAATGCAAGATGCTTCAGGAGAAGGAGGAGGAGGCTTTGAGGGAGCTGAACACCAAGAACCGTGCTGCTGCCCGCATCCAGGCCCTCTGGAAAGGCTACCTGGTCCGGTGCCTTTACAAGCCAAAAAAGAAGAAGGGCAAGGGCAAGGGCAAGGGCAAGAAATAAAGCACAAAATCTGTTCTCCTTCCTCCTGGCAAGGCTGCTGAGTCTGCTGGGACTGAGCTCCTCCAGGCAAAGCAGATTTGAGAGAGCAGTTGCATTGCTCTAGGGCTGGGGCTGCCTCTCATAGCTGGAGCATCTAGGAGCAGTGGCATGAAGACATTCTCACCACTTGAGGTTTGGCTTTGCTACCTCTGCAAGGAGGAGGATGTCTCCTGATGGAGGGACTGGGCCGGGAGTGCAGGTTCCTGGCTTGTCGCCTTCGCTTCAGTCTCCCTGCTTATACCTTGCTTGTGTTCTTAGTGAAGGTGGCAATGAAGTCATTGCTGGGGGCAGGATGAGACCCATCATCTGGCAGTGTTTCTGCTCTGTGGATCTGAGAGGCCATGTCCCTTTCTCCAGGAGGAAGCTGCAGGATGTGGCTCATCAGTGGCAGAAGGGACACAAGTGCTGACTGGGCAGTTTGCAGTTGAGGGCAGGGGCCAGTGGAAGGTGGGTTGTGGCACAGCCCAGCTTGTGTCCTGCTCCCAGTCCAAGTGTCTCCCTAAGCCAAGCAGCAAATGGTGCCTGTTGAGTGCAGATCCCTGTTCTGCAGAGTCTCCTCTGGGTTCTGCAGCATGTGATGCCCCAAGAGCACGCTGCAGCCTGTCCCTTTCATGGGGCATGACTCAAGTGCTTTCACTCCCTTCCTCTCCCATCTATGTAGCAACTTCACACCACAGAGCCCTTCCCTCCTCTGCTCTCCAGGACTGAAACCGGGCCAGCTGCAGGGAGTGCTCTGTGCCCAGGCTGGCAGGTCCTGGGGGCCAAGTCTGTGTTGGCTCCTGGTTCGCTGCTCCTCCACGTCACCCTCTGCCTCAAGGAGCTTTATGAGGGGGTTTTAATGTGGTATTAGAGAGGGGTGTTGGAGCAATGGCACAACCATGGCTGGCTCTGGGGCTCAGTGATGAGCTGTGGGGCTCAGTGATGGGCTGTGGGGCTCCAT